AATAAATTAATTTATATCTTTGTACTTGCTGCATTTTTATAAAATAATTAAAAACAATGTTTAGAATCATTCTGACATGAATCTCTAATCCCATTCAGCCATTATGATGCACCAACCTGGTACACATTTTTTAAATGCAATTATTTTCATTCAGATTTAACCCGAATTATGCACATATTTCAATATATCAATAATGCAATTAATTAATAAATCAATTTCCATGACTCAAGTAATGCAAAAAATACATCATGTAGAAAACTATAGGAAAATAGTGCTACTGCCAATTGCTCATGCGTAGTTCTTTACACCTTGTCATATTTACAATTTTCATATTTTATTTTGAATCTGATCTACTTTCTTTTGTAATTTCTGCGACAGTGTGGGCGTGCTTTGCCCTTCTATCGTTTTTAGAGCAGTGTGGGGTTTTCATAGCTGCTTTGTCTTACCAAGAACAGTGTGGGGTTTTCACAGCTGTTTAACTTACTCCTTAAACAATGTATATGAACACTCTATCTTCTAATTTCGATTTCACAACGTATTGTTTCGCAACATTGAATAGCATCGATGGGTATATCTGTTTGGTTGGTTATTTAAATGAATTTTCCTTGGGGAGGGGTGAGAGGGAAGAACATTTCGATTAGCCAGAAAAATAGGGTTTCGGGCAACTACTAAAAGCAGCAAAAGAAAAGCACGACTTCCATTCTTTGGATTTTATGGCTTATTTATACTTATCATTAGATTCGCAAGATCAATAAGATTAATGACCTCATAATTTATGCAAACTTATTTGACCTATGACTTCATATCGACATCATTAGGTCCAATATGTCAGGTGATCTTCGTGATAATATCCCTTCTGTGCCTACATCACAGTCGGTCTTACTTTTGATTATTATAAGAATTAACTTTTAATTAAAAAGTCAAAATATATATCATTGAAAAAAATTACGAGAAGCTTTTTGATCAAAAAATTGATTTCGAACTCAATTTGAGCATGATTGGTTATAAATGTCATAATTAAATCATGCAATCACAAAACTCATATTTAACTGGTTCTGATTTCAAACAGACACAAACTAAGTTTGGTCAAGAAATATAGCATCCCTACTCTGAACATATTACAAAGATTTTTAATACTAGCAAATCGTTCATAGAGTTGGCAAGATAATCACATGGCAAAATTCTATTGAATGTAAAGTTATATCCTAAGTTACGATGTAATTTCATGAAATGTAAAAAAAGTAATTTTATTTTTAATGGAATGCTACTAAGCTTATTTATTATAAAATTTTGTGAAATTTCGACTGAAATTATTTTTGTTAATCACAGTTGTGAATAAGTTATCTACTGTCATTCTATTAGTACGCAATCGTCATAGCGGAGTTTAAATAATTGGCATTGTTTTGACGTAACAATATCATTAAATAGTATCATTATAAAAATAAAAGCATCAAAATTTTTGATTTATGACCTTTTTTTCAGTTGTACATTTTTTTGTGCTTTTGTGAAAGCTTCTACATGTGTTAGTTTATATCATGTATATTAACTTTGTCTGAAAATTGAAAAGCATAAATAAATATGAATTCTCATTCTATACATATCTATAATAATGAGACTATTCGACTACCATTTGGATGAGCAGTTGAATGGTATCTTTACTCACTTCTCATCTCTTATAGCATCCGATACAAAGTTTAAAGCAGAAAGAGAGTAAATGATGTGGTAAAACGAGGGCTTATAACAGTTGAACGTGTAGAAGGTTCTATAGACTATCTTGGCTAGAAAACTGAAAAAGGCCAATGTAAATCGACAAATCATCTCGATGATGTTTTGAAGCTTACTGAAAATGGAAAACATCAAGTTCAACAAATACGTGCTAATGAAGGAAGTGATCTTCAAGTTTGGCGATGGGTCTGGTTTTGTTCTAGTGAAGGTGGTTGTCAGAGATCTTGTTGTGGGATTGGTAAATATGTAGAAACATGTAATCACTATGCAAATGAACATAACAGTAAGAATCCTCTTGATATGCACAAGTGTGATGTACGAGTTATTACTGAGGTTATGCTTTCTGAAGTTGATACCGATTTTCCAGTGCATATGATTATTAAAGGAAACCATGTTCAACAAAATATTATCCAAGAAAAAACTGTGTCGTCTCGAATTAATTTAAGTTGAGAAGTACAAGACCTTGCAATTACAAGTCGTCGAGCTGACAAACGAACAACAAAAGAAATTAAGATGAAGTTACTTGCATCACATAATGGTGCATCACAAAATGAACTTGAACATCTATATTATCAACACTCTATATGTGATGAGTTAAAGCTTCGTCAACTTATTGAAAGAGATAATTTACGCACACGAAGACAAGTAGGTCCATGGACGACAGTGCATGAGTTGGTAACTAATGTATTGAAGCAAAAAGGTGTTGTATTGTATTACCAACAACCAGACACAAATGCACCCGAAAATAGTTCAGAGAAATATTATCAACTTATTCTGAGTGATAATTTATGGCTTCAACAAGCACATGACTTTGGTTTCTTTTGCTTCGGTATCGATGGCAAGTACGATTTAAACAGTGACAGGGCTCCGATTTTGTCTCTAGTTGTTGAAGATAATACAGGATATGGAATGCCAATTGCATTTGAAGTATCAAACAAAGAAAATAACTATACTATTAGACTTGCCATAGAGGCAGTTCAACGAAATGTTCCATGCAATAATTTTGACTGTTTACATGAGTATCATTATGAAAAACTATCAAATGGCAAAGAATTTATAAGAGTTCGGAATTGTGCACCAATATGGCAACTATTTGCAATGATCGATAAACATTGACCAACAAAGCAGGGACTACAACCTATTTTACATGGTTTAATCTTATGCTGGTTCCATATAATGCAAACATTCAGTGTACACCTTAAAGACCTGCGAATTGATAATCATTACTGGTACCCTATCGCCATTGCTTTTAAAATAGTAGGTAGAAGTAGAAGTAAAGAGGAAGCTTTGGAGCTTAGTAAGGCTTATAAAACTTTTATTAAATTTTTGCCACTTACTGAGATCACAAAAGAATTTTTGTGTAATAATATAGTTGCGAACTGGTTGTCTGAAGAGTGGATAGATTGTTTTATCGATAGTGGTTGAATGCCATCACTAAATGATGTGCCAGGTGTTAGGCCAATGACTACAAATAATCTTACTGAACGAATGAATAAGTTAATTGAAGGTCAATGCATAAGCACTCAGCCAATTAACCGTTTTATCGAGAGGCTATATGGCATTACTTTAGTGCGAGATAATATTATTAAAGAGACCTCTTCACAACTCATATTCGAAGCAGGTCAGGTAACATATTGAAATTCACGAATTATAGAGCACCAAACTCTACCGTTTAAACAACCAATAGATATAAAGCAATGATTAAACCAAGGATGACTTTATGTTTTACTTCACTTAGTCAAACCTGCAGTTAAAGAATTGGATACATATTTCTATGTGAAAAAAGGAAATAACAAGTTTCGATCACCATACACTATGAGAGATATTTACATTGATAATAAATTATATCAATTACTTAAACCAATGCTAGATAAACTTGCATCAAAACATCCAATTGAACAACAAGATAACTATTATCTTGTTAATATTTCTACTGGTGAATATACTTGTCTTGATTTCGTATGAAATAGTTCATTTTGTGATGTATGTAAGCACGTTCATGCAGCTCGTTTATTTAATGATGTCGAAAATAAGAAAATTATACTTGATATTATAAAGCATGATCTTGTGCTATATTTTCGTAATAAGGAACGTGCAATGCCAAATGAGCAGAAAAATTTTATCATTTATAATAACTCTATTGATGCTGCATTTGGTGAGATCCTTCAATTTTATTCAGCACGAGGTAGTGATATCTTTTTTTCAAGTGAACGTGGTGTTACAGAGCAAGACCCATTTTGTCCTGCTGAAATGCTAATACAAAAAGTATCAAGTGTTGAAGCTTCTAAGGTACATGGGGCAAAGCCACGAAAGTCTAATGGTTTTGTACCTACAGAAAATAAAGAGGTACGTAAGTATATATAGGTGTTTAAATTATCTCTTAATAAATCATTATTTCGCCAATTAGTCTGCCAAATCAGTTTTCTTAGTGGCAAAATTAATTTTCATAGTTCCTGAATTTATTAGTTTTAATGAGTATAATTATTTTGTGAAATTCATATAAAAAAATTTTGCAATGGCAAAAGGCTTGATAAAATTGATTTATTTAAAAAAAATAATTTAAACACCAATGTATAATATATATGTACTGTCTGTAATTTATATAAGATAGCTTCATTTCTAATTTTCTTAACTATATTAATTTTATAGAATAATTTTATTGATAATGATTCAATGCTGCTTGAGGACGAAATGGAGTTATCAGACACATCTGAGTTGAAAGGGACTTCAGAAGATAATACAAGAGAAACATTACGTCTAATAGCATCATCAATTCAAAAGTGAACAACAGTCACAATTCGAAATCGCAAATGTAGTGTTTCAAAAATAGTAAGCTAATTATATAGTATTCATAATAAATAACTTAATGTTTATTAATCATAAAACTTTAGCAGTTTACTCAAGATGAAGATAGTGTTAATACGACACCATCCAGTAAAGCTATTGTACGATTCACACTCGAAAATCTCTTTACAGAGAAATGATTAAATTGGAAAAGATGCGAGTTCGTAAAGGCCTGCATTGAACAGAATATTCGTTTAGATGATAATGCCGAACTAAACAAAAAAAAACTCTTTACTTGGTTTGATGGAAAAAAAACTAAGGAAAAACAAATTTCTCAATTGTAGTCAATATTAGGTGGTATTGTATATTTATTATTTTTCTATATATTTATATTGTCTTTAAACTATCTTACGTTTTA